ACAAAAATTTTTATTTAGTTTTTATAAACATTTTTATTCAATTTTTATTCAAACTTTTCATAAGTAATTCTAAAAGCAATCTTCTTTCCTCGCCATCCTGCTTCAATTTTGTTTCTTTCTCTCTTCTCTCTAAATCAAATTTTTCTTTTTCCAATTTCAGTCGTTCTTTATTTAAATTTAATTCTTCTTGTTTCAAATGATACAAAACAAGCAAGAGCAACAGCAAGTATGAGACAACAAAGTATTTTTATTTCTGGTGAAATTGGTATCTTCATCTAAAAATAATTAAAATTGTAATAATTATTACAAAAATTATATAATAATTAATCATAAAAAGTTTTTAAGTTTTTATATTTACCAGATGGAAACTCGGGAGATGATACTCTTAAAGATGTCATCGCTGCATCCCTGACTTTCTGCCCAGCAATGGCTTGTGGTGATGATTTCTCAGATGTTATCTGGGCCTCATATTTTAACTCTTATTTCTTGTAGAAATTGATTATGTTCTGTAAATTCCTCTTCTGTTCCAGATCTTTGCAAACTGGCTTGATCATTCTGAAAAGAAAACTATGATAAGCTATTTTATGAACACACCTATAAAAATGTTATCGACACTTTACATCATTTGCTAAAAAAATGAATAATTAAAAAATTTCTGCATTAAAATCGTCTATTTCTTCACAATGTTATTCATAAATGCTTAAATAATCGTTATCTTAATAAAATAGGTCATAATTTTAACTCCAAACAGAAAAAAATGAAGAAGTTTAACCGATCTTCTATTCGCCATTNAAAAAATGAATAATTAAAAAATTTCTGCATTAAAATCGTCTATTTCTTCACAATGTTATTCATAAATGCTTAAATAATCGTTATCTTAATAAAATAGGTCATAATTTTAACTCCAAACAGAAAAAAATGAAGAAGTTTAACCGATCTTCTATTCGCCAGTCTATATGAAGCGAACGCCGTTATCGACCGCCTAGAATTGCCAGATAGCGACGCATGGACCGTCCGCCGTACACGTTTTGCGCTGATACGTGTACCGCAACCTCTGTATTTTATACTTCTAAAAATAGGGTTGGTTCTGCAGTCTGTTACCGAAGCAGTAAGAACACCATAATTTTTTTAAAATTTATTTTGAAAGTATTAGTGGAAATATTAAAATAATTATAAAAAATAATTATCAGGTTTGTTTACATTTCATAAAGCATCATACATTTTTTTCCACAAATATCCATATTTTATATATTCAACATATATCATGTTTAACATCCAGGAATGAGAGAAAAGTTTTGAACATAATAAATGAATAAAAGATGTTAAGAAGGCAAGCTGATGCTGAAATACCAATAGATGTGTCTCATGCAAGTCTTTGCAGAACTTTAAAAAACTACGACAATGTAAAATATTTAAAAATGAACTTTTTAAATATTTTATTGCAAAACACATATCAATGAATTTAAATTGGGCTAAAGACAAGATGGGATGGACTGAAGAATGGCAAGAAATAATGTTTAGTGTGAGAAGTTTAATTTATATGGCCCTGAAGGGGTTTCATATTATTGGCATGATTTAAGGAGAGAAAGCAGAGTTACAATATGCCATGGGTCTATAATGATTTGGGGTAGTTTTGGAGGTAAATAGGATGGATGAGAAGGAAAAACTAATTTAGTATTTGTTAACAAAAATATTATTACATTTGATGCATTAATTGGAGGACATAAATGGTAGTTTCAACAAGATAATGCTACCATTCGTGTCTCAATGTAAACAAAAAATTGGTTTAAAAAAGAAAGTATTGATGTAATATTAACTGGCCTTCTTGTTGTCCAGAGTTAGATCCCATTGAAAATTTATGGGGGATTTTAGCAGCCATTGTTTATCAAAATGGGAAACAATATGAATCTGTAAATCAATTAAGAATGAACAATTAAAAGGTAACAAACTCCATGCTAACAGAATTTTTCAAGTAATTGTAGCCAAAGGGGGTGAAACCAAATATTAAAAGTGTTTAAAATATATTTAAAATTTATTTTTATATAATTTTAGAAAGTGTGCCTATACTTTGATAACAGGTAAAAAGTGATAACTTATATTATTATTAAAAGAAAAAAAGCTTAAAATGATATTTTTGTAATGGTTTTAAAACATATAAAACTGTTTTCTAATAAAAAAATTGAAATAAATTTTGAAAAATCACGAAATTTATGGTGTTCTTATACTTCTGTAACAGACTGTATATCTGGAAAGCAAGATGGCATTCACATACATTGTCATAATACTGTAGAAGTAAAGTTGTTCTTTCCCGGCATCTTCTACCGCGACAGTGTAATATGTCCGTAAAATTTCAGATATATTGATACTTTTACAAGTACCTTTTGGATTTTCATACGCAAACGAATTTACAGCAACTACTTCTCTCAACAGGAGTATATCATGATTACAGGAAAAACGCATTGGAACTCTCCTATTGTTTGTAACGCAAGGAAACACGACGCTAATTATAGTAAAAAAAAATAATTATTTAGTGTTATAACATCTTAAAAATAATTTAAAATAGCTTAATTTGTTTATTTATCTTCGCTCAGGACATTCGTTTTCAAAGTCGTTCGCCATTTTTTCAACAAATTTCCCGTGAGTCAATGCGTGACGTTCATCGAGTGACGTGATGTTGTGAACGTCCGCCGCAACGATTTTTTCTTGCAGTTAAAACGTAAACCGTGTAGGCTACTTCTGCTTGCCGTCTAGAAGTAACGATCGAACGTCGGCCGCAATCTCTCTATTATGTCAGTTTTGTTCCTTGTCATTTATTTAACTAAATATCTAACTCGGCGTTTTAAAAACACTTAATAGAACATTAAACACCTTCCATCGCTGAGAAATGTTTATTTAATAAAATATATTCCAACTCATTTACACCTGAGGATGGTCTATTCCATGAGGCTGAAAACGTTAGTGTTTTATTAAATAAACAATTCTAAGCGATGGAAGGTGTTTAATGTTTTATTAAGTGTCATTTATTTATCCATAAACCTGGTTTTGGGTTTAAATAAAAGCTTTTTCACCCTTATAATAAGATTCATATAGAAAATTATAAAATCGAACTGGAAGATTAAATATCTTTCAATAAAAACAAACAATTCGACTTCACAGCGATTCGTTCCAGCGCTCTTGTAGTGATTGCAGTGCCTCTGGTGGTCTCTAACGAAGATAGGTGGTCGAAAGACCAGGGGCTGTATTCTGGTCACTTATCTCTCGTCTCTTCTTTCACCGACGAATGACGTCAAAGCGAGAGACGAAATTCCTCTCTCATACACAGTGGCGATTCTGGTCGTTCGTAACGCTCTCGTCTTTGTTGTTGACGTCACGATTCTATTCGGTTGATTATACATATTCGGGTTATCTGCGCGCGCAACACGGTATAGAATTTTAACCAATGAAATTGTAAAATTTTCGAAAGTGCGGAGTATGTAATCATAGATCACGTGGCAAGGAAAGCAAGTGTTCAACTGACGTGAGTAAGCGTATTCTAGTTTTGGTTCTCCATTGTTTCCGATCAAACAATTCAAAGTTTTAGTAAGTATTTTTTGATTTAAATATTCTGTAAATAATGATTTCTACATAAATTTTATACGAAAATGTATTAATACAGTGAGAAAATACCTGTTATAATTATAAAACAGATAAATTTGACATTTTGTTCTGTATCTAACCCATTAATAAATCATATATTTGGAAAGGATTCATGAAAGTAAAGACTGTTCAACGAAAGATTGTTAATTGTTAAAGTCACTTTACTTTCTGGATGTTATAGGATAATTGAATTGCTATAGGATACCGTTATAGCATAATTGAAAGTGTGACAGTTGCTCGTCATAAAATATTTCAATGTCGGACTCAAGGCCCTTTGTACGATTACCGAACGTTCCATCGTCCGTTAGGCCTGGAGGGGCAATAAACCTGGCGGTAAACACGAGGAATATAATAAAGGGTCGTAGGGCCGACGGAAGCGCTCTCTCTCTTTCCGTCTGGAGATCTGGACAGATCAACGAAGTGATTTAAGAAAATTACTGTTTTCAATCTTCTATTATTATTTAAATTTTATATCGTAATATAATTAAAAATTACTCGCTGTTCGAGTGTCAGGAAAGTTGTTCAAGAACCCTCGCTAGCTTTTTTGATGTACGGTCATAGACGTCAAATCTGCAAGACTCAATCAGGTAATTGTCTTGCTGATAACATCATTATAAAATATATTTTCACGTCTAAAATAATAATAAATATTTAAAAACGACAGCCCTATTTTGACAGGTCAATGTTAACATACAACAGGTCCGAGTATATCTTTATATGTGACATATTTTCGAAGTGATATACAGCAAACACGATGATCTTATATGATTGCGTTGAGCAAATTAAAAGTAATAAATAATGTAAAAATTGATATTTCTTACACCTAGAGAGTGTTCGAAATGTTTTAGCACACGGGACATTATTGCACCAGTGCCAAGTTAAGCGGTCTGCTCTGGGCGATGATGAATCGGTGAGTGAGTCATTCAGTCAGTCAGTCAGGACAAGCAATTTTATATATTTAGATAAACAATGTATTAGTGATTACTTTATGAGTTTTTAATTTATTTTTATTATAAGTATACACGTAAAAATGGTTTAAACACTTCATTCAGACTCTCGCAAAATTAATATTTAACTGTTACATGATTTACTAGAGTTTATACAAATAATACCAAGTGTCAATAAATTATTGTTTTTTTTTTTTAATTTTTTTACAGAGAATGGCCAAAATTGCAAAATCGACACTTGAAAAAACAATAGAAATAGGTGCAATATCGGCACGTAGTTCTATTTTAATCACGGAATTACCAGAAATAATATTGTTTTATATATTTCAATACCTAAACGATGCAGAATTAGATTTATACAGAAAAGTGTGTACCCAATGGAGAGATATCATCGAAAACGGAATGTATCACCGAGTAACAATGATCAAAAGGGTAATTCTTATATTATTTCTTCCATCGTATGTCATGATTATATAATAAATTCCGCATTTCAGTTAATTACGATAAACAGGAAATTGGTTTTGTGTTTATCGTAATTGATCGTAGTTGCGGAAGAAGAGATAAATTGGTAATTTATTGTATACTACATTATTCTTTTAGTTTTCTGTATTTGATTGTGTAATATAGTTTTAAATTAAATTACATCAAAGTCTTAATGTTAAACGTTTACTCTTTGCCATTCCATTAAAGTTTTACACTGACAACTTTTTATTAAATTTCTATGAATTACTGTAAACAGATTTTGTGTATGTTTACATTAGACTCCCCTATAACACTGTAGATAATACCGTGTTATACGAATTTCATGTTGTACGAGTGAATTAGGTTTTACAAATAAGTTAGCCGTTCACAGCCCGACACACGTATTTGTAAAATCGAAGTGACTCGTACAACATGGAATTCATATAACACGGAATTATCTACAGTGTTATAGGGGGGGGGTCTACTGTATTTGTAGAAATATTAGTCCAAAAATTATATCGAATTTTAGTCTTATTTGACGTTAATGATAATACATTTATACAAAGTTACTTTTTGAATTATTGAATTACAGAAGTTACTTTGTATTAATTATTATTTATTACTTACTTTATTATCTAAATAAATTTACACACGATATAAATATTACGATTTATTTAAACAGGAAATTCCTCGTCATTTAATGAATTTTATCGTTTACGAACCGGAAAAGGTACATCATTTCACTGGTTACAACGATAATTTTCAATACAATTCATTCGTCTTGGGAGATGAATCTCTATATACATTTGACTGTCCGTTTGACTGTTCGTTTTATAAACAGGAACGATTCACACGTAAATTGGAAATACCATCGATCGATCCATGCGAATCTGGTAAGTAGACTAATTATAAAAGTTTGAAATTTTTTATTAAGTGACTTATCACGTCTTTAATTTCAGACGTAGACGTTTTACCTGGATGCAGTAAGTTTTCATCAATACAAGAAACAACCGAAGTACAATTATCAATGTTTCCAAACATTCAAGGTTTTAATGTTGTTAATTATTCATTCGGAGTATTCGATAACAACATAGATATAAATAATGTATGCCACAAAATGAATATTCCGGAAGAAGAAAGAAGATGCGCCATAATCTATAAAGATTTTACTGTATTGCCTCATAAAAACTACTACTTTACTATCGACTCATGTCACACACTCGACCCAGGTAAAAACAGACTTACAATATTTTATGGGGAAAGAATAAATTCTTTCAGTTTTTATATCGAAGTACAAAAAACTGATTATGAAACTATGAAAGAAAAATTGGAAAGCGTGAAGCGTTCCAAACCGCGAATGGTACAGAAGAGATGTTTCGTATATATATTTCATGTTGCGTGTGCAAAGTGCATGGATCCGACAATTCAAGCTTTTAGAAAAGTGTTTCCTCTAGTCAGTTATTTTACTTATAACTTTTTTCCCTGGTCTGTAACAATGAATCCACCACAAGACCCGTATGTTTTTGTAAACAACTTTCAAAATTTCGACAAATTCGCATTAATGGTTTTCATATGGTGGGAATAATTAACATTAAAATAGTTTTGTTAGAATTAGTCTTTTAACTAGTTTTTTGGCTCGCAGTTCTACACTATACCTGTACACAAATTTTGGTGTCAATTCACTTATTGGTTGGAGTTACTCAGATCTTCGAGTAACGCAACATTAATTATGATCACTTTGTACATTTCATCGGTAGTGCCGTACAGGATGTAAATTATGTAGCAATGAAGGTAAGCTGTACTCGTAAAATTTCTGTAGAGCAAACTATTTGTTGTGTGAATGGATTAAAACCTGTTTGGAACATGTGAAATAAAATTGTATTTACGCTAGTAGATTTGTAGTGAAAACATACTGTACAATAAACAATAAAAACCTGAAACCATAAGAATAAATAAATTATTTATTAATTTGTCTATAATTGCACTGTAATGACCGAACAGTAATTTTAATAACGGCCATCTTATCGTTTTTAACTAATATTTACTCTATAGTAGAAGTTGGTAGTTCCGTGCTCGGATTTATTAGGAACCGTTCCACACCAATTGTTAACAGCCCTTTTAAATACACAAATTACTTTCTTTTCTTTCAATAAGTGATCTTGTAATTAAGGTGTCAGCCTGCAAGCACTAGAGAAATTTCGACAAAGCAGTATGAAATGTAATCTGAATAAACTTTCCTTGTATTGAGGGTCGCCAATGGTGTGGTCATGTAAAGTTTCCAAATTTTTTCTTGTTTTAAAGGCCAGTTTAATATAGAAAATTTTACCGAGAGGCATTTTTCTCGGAGAATTGTTCACGTGAGACGTTGCCACAAACAAATAGTATGAAATTCAGAAGTAATGTATTTAGAGACAGTATAAGTGAGCTTTATTTTTTCAATTTAATAAACATAAAATAAATTTAATGCATAAAGTTTGATTAACTATTGAATAAAACGCTTGATTATTGAAAGTCACAAATGTCTAATAGCACACGTGGTTTAAATATCTACGTTGTTGTGACAACACAAAGAACCACATGGTTTAGTGAATTCTTAAATGTACATTTTAAATACCTTATTATTCACATTACTTTCTTTGCTTTTAACAAGTTTTCTTCCAAATCTATCTCTTAAATTAAGTTATTATCCGCCTGAAAGAATCGTAATTTTGGACAAGCCATTAAAAAAATCTGGATAAACTTTGATGTTGGGATAATCAGGATAACTTCATTCGGAGTATTCGATTACAACTTAGATATAAAAAACGTATGCCACAAAATAAATATCCCGGTAGATGAAAGAAGATGCGCCATAATATATAAAAATTTTACTTGTATTGCCTGATGAAAACTACTACTTTGCTTTCGACTCGTGTTACAGACTCGACCCAGGTAAAAAGAGACTTACAATATTTTATGGGGAAAGAATAAATTTTTTTAGTTTTTATATCGAAGTACAAAAAACTGGTTATAAAACTGTGAAAGAAAAATTGGAGAGTGTGAAGCGTTCTAAACTGTTTAAAATTGCGTTGAGTTCAGCCAATAATATGGTTGATGAAAATAAAAATGGCACGTAACGATCAATTATTTATTATGACATCGTCGCAATGCCGGGATGCAGTTTTTAATCATATTTTTAATTTATTTAATTTAAAATGTATGCCCTCCATCTCAAATTAGTAGTATTTTGATCCGTACATCATACTTTTCCATTAACAATAGAGTCATGCTGGTCACCTATTAACTGCTTTCGGGAGAAAATATTTAAATTGAAATAACGTGACTACCAATTTGCATCGGACGTTTGTATATAGTTATTCGGGGCATCTGGCCCCTAAGATTTATATATTTGGACTTGAATTTCATGTATCTAACTCCATTCTCGAAATTCAGGAATGACAGACTGAAGACTGGAAAATTATAGATCTGCAATCGTATTATACGTCATTGGAAAGAAGACAAAATGAAGAACTTAAACGTATAAATAAGTTATTAATGTAATGTTGACAGTTTCACAGTTTTAGAATAAAAACTCGTTCGTTTCTACGTGACGTAACTCTTTCGTTTTTTTAATGCACCCTTTAGAAGGGGATGTATAACGTAATTTAAACCGGAATGCCGGCATTCTCCCGGATTAATTAACGCGGCTTTAATAGCAGTGTTTACTTAACATAGATATGTTTTTGTCGGCAATAAGGTGTTGGTGAATTTGCTATTTTTGTCTGTGGGTATTAGCGTATAAATGTGCTTATGAGCCACTGTTTGATATAACGAACAAGCTTTTCAGTGAGAAGAAACTCTATACGTATTGTGGACCTGCTGAAGAAAAGGTTTTCTGTTGAGAAAACACCATTAGAAGTTTGTGTTTGACGTTAGAGTGCACGCAAAATAAAAAATACTGAGCTACCGTATCACGAAATTTCAAGAGCTAGCAGGAAAAAAACATTGAGCGCAAAACAGAAACGTTTGATAACGAATGGACATTGCCATGCATCATCACAAGTAAAGAGGAAACTGAAACATGCATTAGGAATAGAAGTGAATGCTTCAACTGTCCGCACGTGTTTGTTATTAGAAAAGGAAACATGTTTTGAGAGTGTAAGGGTCACTAAGAATTGTAGACAAAGGAATTCGTTTTTATTGTTAACTGCCAACGCAGAAATTGCCTAATTAAGTGGAAACACTTCTGTAAACAATTTTAAAATAACATATTAAAATGATAAGTTTGTGTTTATTATACGATTGGGGAGGGGGAATAAAGAAATAAAAAAACTCCTAATCGTTAATGATCTTTAATGTGTAAATATATACATATTTATTTACAATTAATAGAAATATTAAAAGTTTACCCTTAACTGATTGTTATGGCTAATACCTTGTTTATAATTGATATATTTGGAATTTCCGATTTGAAAATAAATCTCTCGGTTAATGGACTATCGGTCATTTTCTATTTTGAATTTTGATTTAACAGTGTAATCGTTTTCAAATTAACAAAGGTTTTTATGTTTCCTTTACGTTTCCTTGCACGTTTTAGACTAGAGTTTCCACGTTTTATCAGAAAAAACATAATTTTAACTACAGATCATTTTATTACATTGTATAGAACATTTTTTACATTAACTTGCATACAATTCACTCATATTTCATATTTATTTTTTGATTTCGCTGCTGTTAATAATCTTTTATTCTGTTTTGCAAATTAATAAAATTTCTTACCGTTGAAAAAAAAAATTTTGGTTCTGCTTTGATCGGCTCTAAATACGTCTTGTTTGTAACAGGTGTCCATTTATTGTTTATAACTGAAATAATCGTTTTTACAAAAGTATTAAAGCCTAGAACATTTAGTAAAAACACTATGACTTTACTTACGTCCGAAACACTTTCCTTAGAAACTTTAGAAAAAAATACAGCCACTTCTTATAAATGCTTTGATTATTTAAACAGTAATAAAACATCTTACACACAAAATTTCTCCTACACTTCAAGGTTAATGAATTTGCGCAATTTTATTATATATAAACAGCATTTTCAAAGGTAGTTGTGATTACAATATTCTGCAAGTTTTAAAATAAAATCTTACGTTTATGAATGCGAAAGGTAAAAAATCGTCTTATTGAAAAAAATAACGTAAAACGATAAAATGTTCGAAAAAACGTAAAGCTTAAGATAAAAACGTAAGATCAAACAACAGTATTTTTAATTTACTAAATTATATTTTCCATCTAAAGTATTATTTAATTAACTGTTGACAAACTTGCGAGACAAAGTATAGAAATATTATTTCAAATTTTATTTATGTCAGAAAAANATAATCCTGTTTTTAATAAATATTATTTTAGTAAAATAATCCTATCTGAAATATTTCAAACTGATTCATATATATACGTAACACGTGACGTAAAATCATGATGTGATCGTAATACGTCACGCGTTGTTAAAAATATATTCTAGCAATACGTAACGAATTGTTAAAATGTATTGTAGGTGAACCATTGTTAAGACAGGAGACGCCACGAAAGGCGGAGAAGGCTCACTTTGTCTTGAATCATTAAGGCTTGCTCTGGTAAAGACAGGACATGCTGACAGGGCGAAGAAGGTTCTCTGTGTCACGTTCCTTTAAGGCTCGCTCGAGTAAAAAGGCCGAGCAGAGATGGAGAGTCATTGAGTATCCCGGATGTACTGTATAAAGCCCGCTCGGGTGAAGACAGAAGAGGCCGAGAAAAAGCGGTGAAGGCTTTCTGTATCCCGTTTTATTAAATTTCGCGCAGCGCGAGAATTTTTTGGTATTTTTTTTATTGAGTTCGGTATGAGTTTGAAGTAAATTTTGTGGCCCTAACGTCCGTATTATTCCCATTTAGCATCTTAGTGGCTTTCTTTCTTTCATTATTACTAGTTGTTGTAATATTGTATCCATTAGTTTAGATAGTAACGATACGGTCAGTTTCGAATAGTTGAATTTGAAGTATTAAGAATAAATTATAAATATGTTTATTGTGTGAGTTAGGACGAATGAAACTCGACAAGTGATGTCAGTCACTTATAAAGTTGCATTCTTTCCAACTCTTGGTGGATCTCTGAAGCAGCCACCTCCACGTGGTGAGTTCTGGGTTGTCGTTCGTCTGCAAATGACGAATGGCAAGCAAAGAGCTGCTTGTTTCTTTCAATTGACAATAAGAAATGGATGAAATCATGGCAATAAAAACAGAAATTACAAAAGTAATTAAAGTTAAGAGAATCATGTATCTAACTTAGGTATAAATCGCTTTAAATTTCATCTAAATGTGTTAATTTTTTTGTTTTAATCGTGATCTCGATCGTGATTTCGATTTATCTTAGTTGTAAATTATTAAAATATAATACATTTCTAAAATAGACAGTTTGTTAGTTTTATATTAAGTGATGTATAAGAAACATAATGCAACCGTTCGTTTTTATATACTGTATACAGTAAAACCTCGTTTAGCGCATAGGATGCGTTCCTAGACGACAAAGCACTAAATGAAACAGCATTAAATGAGGTCATTTTAACACATAGTAAATAGATAAATGGGAATAACCGACCAAAAATAATCACATTTTACTTTAATTTTTGTAATGAAGGTCCTATCTG